TTCCGTATTTTTAGACATTTTTTTTTAAATTTTAGAGCCTGTGCCAAATCATAGGAGACTCCTCGAAATTCTCCGTCATATATTTTTGATCCAACCAGCAACGATAGTAACACTTATTCGGAGTAGGTAAGTCTACTAAAATGCAGTTTGAGTTGCTCTCTTGCCCTCCGCGAGTGAAAGCTAGACTTTGTTTTTGTATGCGCCTGATGGCTCTACACCGAACGTATTTTTAGGAGCTCAAGAAACCGTAGCTTGGTACTCCAACTCTTATTATACTACGAATAGAAATAAGAAAGCAGAAGAATAATTAAGAAAACCTCCTCAAATGGATTGTCGTATTATCTCGATGGCTACACTACATCGAACAAAATCACAATGTCCTCTCAGCCTGTGTCAGCTCTACGAAAAAAGCGTATAAAACTGAAATCCTCTGGCAAAATTAGTGATATGGATGACTAGCGTAGGGTCCTGAGAAGAGTGCTGCCATGCTCGTTAGGCGTTCTGATTGAAACCAGAGGAGAAAAGTTCAACGAAATACTGTGTCAAAGCTGCGCTTTTTTGTGCAAACTTTCATTTAGGATAATAAGTATTTTTTCCTCTCAGACCGCTTTTTCTTTGGTAACAATTAGTTTGACTGTGATGGTTCAGATGACGCTGTTCACTAGTAGAGGAATATAGACCGGGATTCGACAATATTCCTTCAGCAAATTTTCTTGGTGGTTTTCTAAAGGACGTGAGGATGCATAACGTCGGGCGTGAGTTGCAAATCAAGTTCTCTTCTCTGGTTTCAATCAGAAACGCCTAACGAGCCTGAAGGTATCCTTTGCAGGACCCTACACTAGTTGGCTGTATCAGTGATTTTGCCAGAGGATTTTAGTTTTATTTTTTTATTTATTTTTTCTTTTGCGGATTGAGCTCGACCACAGGCTGAGCATACAGCTTGTGATTTTCATGGCTGCCTTTGAGGTAACGCCCGTCTTTTGGGGAGGTTTCTGTCGTTGTTATCCTGGTTTTCTCTTATTTTATTCGTAGAAGAATTCGGAGTTCCAAGCTACGGTTTTCCTTGAGCTCCTGAAAATAGCTTCGATGCTCATGGTAGAGCCATCAGACCTGTATAAAAGCAAAGTTTGACCTTCACTCGCGGAGAGCAAGGGAGTCAAACCGCAATTCTAGTAGAGTTACCACACACTGGATAAGTGCTACTATCGTTTCTGGTGGAATCAAAAAATTCAAACAGAAGGAGATTTTTGAGGGGTAGTCATGGTTTTGCACAGGCTCTAAAATTTAAAAAAATGTCTAGAAAATACGGAAAACCAATCAGACAACCTGGTGACTTGTGAGTATAGGTTTTTATGAAGGCGGTTCTGATTCCACAGGTTGCGATGAACGAAGTTTTCTAGAAGCCGAGATGTTCATATTTATGAGCGGTGTCCTATGATTTTGCACCGCACTGTAGTAGTATTTGGGCAGTAACCCGCTGCGTGCCATCTAACGCGCTCGGAAAGGGCAGATCAACCACAGTAACTTCCTACTTAAATATTTATTCTCGTAGCAGATGAAAAAAATATTGCAGAGATTTGCAGGTGTCTCATGACCACAATCAATCCGGCTAATGGGACCAAACACCCATCAGTAGAACCTCTGAAGACGCTACGAAAGTGAGTTGTAGCTGGTCGCTCAGCTGTGCTCCGCAGCACTGTTTCCTTTTTAGGTACAGGCTAGCTCCCGAAGGTCCATTGCGGGAGTTGTTCAAGGATTGTCCAATTTTTGGCGTTGATGCTGTGCTCATTAGCCCGGTCTGTCAATGATTTGGAAAAGGCATAGGAATATTATAGCATATTCATCTCCTATATTCCAGGGTTATATTCACGTTGGTCAAACTGTCTACGCTCGTTACAAAGCAGCTTACCGGAAGTCTAGCCCGTACTACTACTCACTATAGACTCTTAGGCTTTTTTGGCCACCACAGATTTTAAAGTAGCGTTTATAAACATTTTTCAAACGCCTCCTTCTGTTGGTTGCTGATTGATTTACATCGTTGCGTTGGTCAACTCAGCAGCTTTTTTTTTCGTCCCATTAGTAATAAACAACTTTCCAGTGATTCAGTGAGCAATAATATTCTCCTTTTTTGGATCCTACTTTTGGGAATATGAAGAAAAGTGTGAGTGAGGTGAACAAACCGGCTCTTCTATCGTTTCTTGTGTCCGCGTGTGCATGGACTATGTGCAGTTGGAGGATGGATTTCGGGTCATGGTTGGCCTCATTCACTGCCAAAAAGTAATATGACATCAAAGGCACGGGTCTGATCGGTGTGATATTCTGCTCAAAAATAAAACCGATGCGAAGAAGAAAGTGTGATTGAGTCAGAAAGGCAAAAGGAATCAGAGAGAACAATTGAACTGAGAAACCTTATTCGTGAGGTCGACCGCGGTATGCCGTTGTCACAGCGTAGGCGGGGAGAGAGGATACGCGAGAAATATCGTCGTAAACAAAGCGTATTCTGGACTATTAAAAATTGCAGCAATGCAAGGGTCAAGGCAATGCCTTTTTCTGCACTTTTGAGTGGGCGACATGACGAGGCTTTTGTGCCTAATCTTCTTATTACGCCATCTACCGAGAAAACTGTTCTAATGATCTACTACAAAACAGATCCTTTTATATACAGTAGCGGTCAAAAGTTTGGAAACTTTTTTATTTTTGATCTAGCGTAGCCAATAGACAATGAAATTGTCCCGAATTCACATATTATATACAGAATCAAGTGTAGATTACGATGGCAACATATTTTTTGAAAACTGAAATCGCATTTGAAAAATACGAATTTTTATAAGAAATGGCGCGTCAAAAGTTTGGAAACTTCTCAATTCCAAAGCGAATTCGGCAAATAGCTCTCAAATCCACATGATAAATTAAACTTTGATGAGTAGCTTAAAGTTCTATGCTAGCATCGTTTTTATTGATATTGAATTGATTTGAACATCATTTAGGACTTTTAAGTGAAGCCTACATTTTGTGAACTGAATCGAATTGTTTAGTGGAATTCTTTACAATGTGGATTGTGCGATATGTCAGCTCTTTATTTTTAGTGCAGAACTCAGTCAGCTTCAGATCTTGACTTGTTCTCTTCACAACAGCTTTTTTCCTGGGTTTAGGAAGGCGGCCATGAGGAGGTAGGCCCGCATCGGATCATGTTGTAATAGAAAACCCATTTTTCGGCTAGTTCTGACTATCGAAGAGAAGCATTGTATTCTCAGACTATCCTTGTACTTAGCCCAACCCACATTTCGCTGGATACTAAGAACTGGGGAATCGCCGAATGGTCGGACACATCTTCATCCATGACAATACTTCCACTATTTCTGACTGTTGGAATCTTATACTCAAAATGAGGTTTCCATTTGACAGAACACTTCACAGGGCTCACAACATCATTTTTAGAAAGACAGAAATCCAGTTGTCGCTGAGCACAATTTTCACCTCTCGCCTTCGGTCCAGGTTAGCCGTTAGTGCAGGAAGCCAATGGGCCACATCCTGCTGTTGAAGCTCAACATTTGCATATTATTGGGACATCTTCCATAATATTCGCTAGGTCCCGCCGATGCTGACCTGCACTTCGACTCCATTTGACTCAAACTTGAAAAGTGTAGTTTTTTGGTTGGAGATGCCGGTTAGACGGCACATGCTATCACTCCTCTGAGTCCTTAAGAATGGCAAATTTTCCTGTGAGGATGTTTTTTGTGGAATCCCATTCTCCCTACGCTTGCTCGACTCCAACAACGCTAGATAATTTCGATAATAATGTTTCCGTAGAGTTTTATTCAAAGAGAAACAATTTCAATTTCGTATTCTAGATTGTAGGGTTTAAATCTTTTCCTATAGAGGTAATGTTTCCTTTTAATATAGCTTTATTTGGAAAAGGCACATAATACTGAATAGTTAAGCTAAAATTAGCATGAATATGCAAACGTTGACTAGTAGGAACTATAATGGCGAGGGAAACAAAGAGTTTCCAAACTTTTGAAGCGCGATTTCTTTAACAAAGTCATATTTTTCAGATAATATTTTCGATTTCGGAAAACTGTGGTGCTCAACGTGTCAGACGTCATTTTGTTATATCCTGAAAATATGGGCCTACTTGGTCGTTTATTGACCTTGTCAGATCGAAAATAAAAAAAGTTTCCAAACTTTAAACCGTTACTGAACATACCCTCTTATGGTGAGCAGAACGTGAGAGCGAAGGACATCCTTTTTGATAGAGTTTGGCATCACTAAGTAGTTTCCTAACAGATATAGACTGGGAGCCGACGCTCATTGGAGTTTTCCTTGTACATCAACGCAGTAGCGTGAGCACGAGCTGACAAATAATGTGGCCTTTCTCAGTTTGCCGAGGCAAATGATATATCATATGGCTGAGCTTAATGGACGAATTCACGATGAAAAAGCAACCCATTTCAAATTAACCTAGGGATGGTGAGTGGTACACGAAAGAAGGAAGAACCATGAGAAACGGCCCAGAACCCGAGAAATGGTACCCCTTCCTTGCCCGTTGATTCGAGCATTGATGCGACTCTCATCGCTGTGCCCTCTTCAACACTACGCTCTCTCAGCTATCTAATCACTCGCCACGTATTGAACTACGGCGAGTGATCAGATGATCGGTGGGCGGAGATCGCCGGACCCGCCAGCTTTGAGGCATGATAGGTCGCCGAGGTCAAATTTTTCCATGCGAATTGCGCGTCAGTTCGCACCCTCAGGAGGTCCGTGGGTCCCTCAACTAGGTCAGTTTCCCTTTCTTCGACCTTCATTCTAATCGTGAATTCCTCGTAATAACTTCGTATAGCATACATTATACGAAGTTATACGGCGGCGGTGTTAGCGTGGCTCCACTGTTCGGTTACTTAAGAAAAAAGTCGTCTATTGGCCAATAAGGGACGCGCCATGCCTACAGCCTTTGAACATTGCTCAAAGCCTACCTTGTCGAAGTCGGTAACCGATCGCATGGAGGTATGATGCAAAAAACGTTGGTGAGGGCTCACAGTCAAAACGTCGTGGAACTGGTCTTTTATCGTGTTTGCTGTTTTGCTTTTTCGGAGACACAGCTAAATGGACTGTTGAAAGCCATTCTACCTTACCGAAAAGAACAAGGTAGAAAACACGTCATGGGATCGACAACACGACACCTTAGGGGTGAGTTGTGACCACTACCGTTGCGCTGTTTGCTTCATAGCTCGTTCAGAAAATCGTCTAGCAGGCTTAAAGGTGGATTTGAGATCAATGTTCAGTGGCACATCTACGCATATACATCTCGTCTTTAACAGCCATGGCAACCTGAGATCTCTTCCTAGTTAGGCAATTGGCGAATGGCAGGCAACTAGACGACTAGCGAGCAAAAAGAAGGTACAATCAGAATAAACGAAGGGAAGAATGGGCGATTAGGCGAAGGCGTGTAATGTTCACAATATGGACCGACCCTCGATTGGGATGAAATGTGCCTGCGTTCAGAGCTCGAGATCGCAAGTGCCATTAGGCGAAACGAACATCCAACATGCGACATCAGAAAATCCCGGCTGCTCCGGCTGGTGTGTTCTGACCCACATAATACGACAGTCCTAAGGTGCTTATCGCAATTTTGTAAATTTCTGGTGAAGTTCCGCTATTTGATTCAAGTTCGATGAATTCTTTGAGATTCGCAGCTAGGCCATTCTTTCGATTGTATTTCTTTATTGTTTTTTGTCAAGCACTGCGTAAGGTATAAGCATTGGAATCCTACTGGCTCTGTGACAAAAACAAAGTGGCCAAAATATGGCAGGTTGTGGACCCGTGTCACCACACTATTCACACTTACTCAACGAAATAACTATATTAGAACCCGAGAACAGATTTGAAACGAAACGCGACAACTATGATAAACAAAAGATTAATGGTGTGGTTTCGGGCACACAACGGTACAAGACCAAAAGCTCTCGTTCGAGGCACGCCCTTCCTCAGCGTTGTCATCTCGTTCCGTAGGCTAGCGTCAGGCAATACTGGCAACTTAGCGCCCACCGCTTTTTTCCACATTAAAGACTTGCTTTGGTATACCAGCGGTTACATGAATGCTGAAAAGCTGGCTATCAGCTTGTGACGCATGAGTCGTCAGCTAGACGCAGAGCTATTTACAAGCCGCTCGCAGGAATACGTGACTTGGCTTCCAGCTTACCCATGGCCATACGCCTTTTTCGATAATGAGGTCAAAACCTCGATTTCGCCACATGCTTGTCCCCTAGGGTATTTCGATCCCTGAGCACGAATATCATGCCAATTTGACACGAAAACATCTGGCGCACGCTACATGCCCTAATGCGTCCAAGCCCTGTATGGGTATTTCGTTGATTTCGCAATCCGACGAACTCGAGATCAGTTTTGGCTGGTCGTTGACGCACTCTAACCAAGCTTGTACATGATTGCGCATGTATGCCTTTGTGATCTACCGGAACAATCGATCACATCTAATATATAAACTGGCGTGTAACTCCTACCCAACTTTGACTGTCGTTTTCACCTGCTCGTGTTATTGGACGTCTACTATCGTCGTTTACCCCAGATCTCGCCTCCGACGAGAAAGCAATTACCGAAGCGTCCAGAGGAATTCTCTGAAGCGCAGCAAACGGGTACATCGACTGCGAGGAGGAAGAGGAGTCACTTCAGGTCAGCTTCCTTCAGAAGACTGGGGTTCAGGTGGAGAAGTGATCATGAGTTCCTCAATCACTTCGATTTACAGGCGTCTTTCGATGAAGAAATGGAGGTGAACTGGACTCCTGACGATGACAAGATAGTGATAGCGAAACCCACAATTTACCGCAGCAGAGGAGTAGTATCTTTGACTCCAGGCCTCACGGTACAGTGAATAATCATTTGGTCACCAAAACAGAAAAATGAAGCTAAGCGAAGTGAGCTGAAAAG